AAATGGGGTCAAGTTGGACACAACTGAAAATAACCGAACAATAACAAAAGTGCCACATACACAGGCACTTAATATAAAATGTCTGTGGACAGTGAATGACCATTCCTAATTTATGTTTTATTGATGTTTTTATATATCAGATTTTCCCATAGCATGCCATCTACATTCTAATATATTCCCTCACACTATGCTTTTTCATTAAACTCTTACTTTACGGTTTCATCATAGCACAGAAAGGATCCTAGATTTTCTAAGGCTATGCCAATAGAGTTTAGGGTCAGACAAGTCCTACACAAATCTTAAAAGGTTTAGATTGTAGACCCAGGCACAGGATGTCAACTGAAGTTTGTACTAGCCAAGTTTGAAGAGTCACTAGAACACTGACCAAGAGGTAGTAAATGCTTTTTGATCACATTCAATTCAAAAAAGGGGATAAAGGATTGAGTTCTATATCAGCAGGAGTATCCACAGGTACTTCATTTTGGTTCTTTTGAAAAAGAAGTTGAGTTTCATTTTAAAAATGTGATTATATACAACATTCCCTAAACTTTCAAAGAAAGAATCTAGTTTCCTGTAAACCATATAACAATAGCAGCAATAGCTAACATTTATATAGCATTTACTATGTGTGAGGCCCTATGCTGAGCATTTTACAATTATTATCTCATTTAATCCTCACAACAACTTTGGGAGGTAGGTGCTATTTATCCCCTCCATTTTATGGATGACGAAACTGAGGCAAACAGAAGTGACTTACCCAGGGTTACACAGCTAGTATCTGAAGGCCTTCTTGACTCCAAGCTCTACTCCATTCACTGTGCCTATCCACCTCTTCTAGTGACATATGCTACTCAGGAAGTATTTCATTGCATTAGGTAAAGTGTATTTTTAATGTATGACTGAATAATCTCCTTCTATGCTATTTAATACAAGTTGTATTTTACATACAGCTAGGTTCTGATTTGTATGAATAATAAATCCCCTGAGGAGGGGTAATTACTCAAAGGCACACTGTATATTTCCATTGTACTGTAAACAATGACTATATTTTATATAATTATAGCTTTGAATAGTCCTGATTCAAAAAAATGCAACCACTTCATGGGATTCATTATTCACATTAACCAGGACCTAGCTACACATACAAACCAAAAAGTAAATATTCATAGAAACTTACTAATTATGAGGCCAGCTATCTACACTACTGAAAAGGTAACAATCAGGAAACTCCTAACTCCATACTTTGAAAAATCCAAAATACTGTTCAGTATATGAATTCTAAAAGTAAACTTTTTATTTTCAGATAATCAGGTGTTTTCATTGCTGACAATTTTTTAGTTTTCTTTTCCAAAACAGTCAAAACATGAACTTAGGGAACAAAGACATACATTTTATTTTCTTTGTACAGCCTACTTTGTAACTATTTTAATATTTATCACTACCAAAGTAAATAGGAAAAAAAAAGAAAATTCCCATAAAGATATTTTTAAATATCCTCGAGTAGGAATTAATACAGTAGAATGGATATCCACAATTTCTTATTTAGATGTGTGACTCTCAGCAATTCACTTAACCTCTGTGAGATTCAGTTTCCTCATCTGTAAAATAAGGACAATAATATTTCTGCTACTACCTATCTTACGTGATCGAAATGTTTTCTAAATCTTAAAAGACTATATAAAATAATGTGAATTATTACCAGACACTTTCTATGACAATACTCAAGTCCTACAGAGAATATCTGTCTTTCAAATATTCTCTCTGAATACCTATAAATCCCACAAACTTGAGAAAACCCATCAATCAATCAATAGAAGCTATTTCCATGTATTCATTACCTTCTGCAATCTCTCTAAATTTGGTTTCAGCATCAGGGCTCTTATTTTTGTCAGGATGGTATTTCATGGCCAACTTGTGAAAAGCCTTCTTGATTTGGCGTTCTGATGCAGATTTTGGAACTCCTAAGACATCGTAGTAATTTTCTGTAGCTAAAATTAATTCTGTAATCATTAAAATGCAGATTGCAAAGGTGAAAACTGCCTGTGGAGTAGCCATTTTCATGACCCTGGAAAGAAGAAAATAATTACATTAGGTAATTATTGGTTATCACAAGTGCTCTTAAAATTGAGAGGCAGCCTGGCACGAAGGATAACAAACTGAATTTGGAATTAGAAAGATGTGGGTTCAAATCCTGACTCACATATTTGCTAATTGTGTTACCATGGGCAAGTCACTTTACCTCTCTATGCCTGTTTCCTCATATGTAAAATGTAAAGAATGGATTCTGTGGACCTCTAAGATTCACTCCAGCTCTAAATCTATTATTTTGTGAATTTTTTCATAAATATAGCATTCAAGGCACTTTCACCATAAAAAGTATACCGATAGCATGTATTTTTTAAAAAGACCTATATTTTTAAAAATGTTACTTATTGCACCTATGACAACTGTCACATGTTGTTTTATAAGTGCTATAAAGTTTCTTAGCTATGTTATTGTGGAAACATAAGGACTCAAAATCTGTCTCTAGCATTTTCTAGTCATGTAACTACGAATACATCAATTACTCACTTCTCAGTGTCTCAATTTCCTCATACTTAATATCAGAATATTCCATCTTTGTGGAACTATCAATTCCATCACTATTAATTAAATGGAATTAACAATTCCATCTAGCCTTACTTTACAAGGCCACGTGAGGATCAAATGTGGCCAAGTGATATGCAAACCTCAAAAGCAATATACATGCATTATTTCAATTGCATATGTCTAGCCTCAAATTTCTAAGTTCTTGGATGGAGCATTTTTTTTTCACATAACTTCCAAGAGCATCAGGATAGTACTCTGCATAATAAAGGCACTCAGTAAATACTCAATGGCTAATTTTCCTTAATTAATACTAAATAAAGACCAATATTTGAAGCTTTTATAAAAATGGTATTCATTCTCAGGTCATAGAAATGTCTCTCCTCCATCAGGAGCTAGAATTTCCCATAACCCTTATGGAACTCTTCCTCCCTGGGAATTCACTAGTTTCAACTTTCAATTCAGTTATCATTTGTTAATCACTTACTATTTGTAGAACAACAGTTCTAAGCCCAAGAGGAAATAAAACGATGATTAAAATGCCCCTGCCTGCAAATGGGTAATTCTTTAATTCATCATACTGATTACAGAACAAAAATTTTACACTTTACAAAACTGTTCAAGTATCTAAGCTACATTAAGTACAGATCAGTCAGCTACTCTTGCAACGAGTTGATTTTAATATAAAAATAAACAGGCTAGACAGCCACTTTTGTTTTAACTTCAATTTCAAATATCACACATGAATGGCATCTTCAGCAAAATCTGTAAGTTTTGTTCATTTAGGGCTAGCTGAAACAAAATCTTATTTGGTGATTTAGATGTCAACATATTCATAAAAGAAAGCTTTAAAAATATTCCTACTTAAAAAAGTTTGCAAAGAATTCATTCACATATATATGTATGTATACATATACGTATGTATGTGTACATATACATATATAACATACGTATGTATATACATTAAAACTTTTAAACTGAAAAATTCACAGATAAAAACCATGTCTCCTGGGCACTGCATTGCACCTCTGAGCTTAATAAATACCCTAAGGTGATATAACCACAGAGATGATGACGAAAAACACTACAGATTATTGAAATTGCCAACTTAACTACCTGGTGGAAAAATCCCCCAATTACTCATAGTCACGAGTACTCAGGTTTAAAGTACACGTTCTTGTATTAAAAGGAATACAAACGTAGTAACTTGTTCCAACTGGATTGTAGATTGTTTATGAGCCACTGTGAGGGCTTAAAATGCCAGAAAAGCCCTGGATGCCAGGCCGTTCCGGCAGGCAAGGAATGCGCTTCACTGCGTCCAAAACAAAAGGGTGTCAGACTAGACTCCCCGTTCGCAGTTTTAATGGTCTCTGCGGTCTGGGAGGGACCTGCGGACCGGCAAGGGGCCTCCTACCAGTTGTAGACAGACGAGTCCTTTAACCTCGCAATGTAGACACTGAGCCAACATCGCTGCATCAGAGCCGAGCGACGGATCCCGGGCTGGGGCCCTTTCCAGAGGTGATGTCAAAAATAAGGTCCCAGTCAAAAACAAGGCAAGGCAGCATCGGGTCCGACAAAATTCAGACACTTGCACTCCGCCCAGCCTCTCTACTCGAGCTCCCCTAGCCTCCCCCCCCAACCCCCCCTCCCACCCCGCCTTCAGCCAGTGCCGGGGAAGCTCAGCTGACGACGCACTGGCCCGTCAGGTAACTCAGCTCCTGACCACCGCCCACCACCCCAACTCCCGCGCCTCCGCCAACCCCGGGCAGGGCTCCTTATCTTCGCCCCCTCCCCTTTACCTCAAGTGCAAGTTCATTCCCTTATCCCTCCGCCGCTGCCACGGCCGCTGCCTTCCTCACCCTCACCTTCAGCCGCTCCGTCTCCCCTCAGGAAGCAAAGACGAAGCAGCGGGGGCCCTCGTCCTCCAGACCGCGGGGGTCCCCTCCTCGGCGCCAGACTACCCGCCTTTCACCCCGTCCTACCAGACGCGCAGCACCGCCGCCGCACGTCAGCCTCGCTCCAGCTCCAACTCCAGGTCCCAGAGCCGCCGCTCCCCAGCAACCCGAGCCAACGCCAAGCCCGCACCAGGCAGAGTCCTACACGAAACGCTTTTCCATTGGCTGGGACCGCCCCACCTGACTCCCGGCGCCGTTAGCGCACGTGGAAGACTGTTGTTACCTCTTTTCTCTCAGAGTCACTTCCGGCCTGGCACGGGAGAGGGCGAGGCGGAGGCGGGATCTCAGGTCCGACGGAAGGCGGAAATGGGTGTGCGGCGGCGGTGACAGCTCTTGGGCCTCCCTCCTTCCCCTCCCACTCCCATCAGCCTCCGAGCAGGCGCAGTAGGCCCCTTGTTCGTGACAGGGATGGTCTCGCAGCCCTGAGGCGGGCCCGGTCACCCTCACGGTTCGGCGCTCGGCCTCGGCCTGCCCGTCGCTGCCGGCGGCGCGGTTGTCTTGCGTCTCTTGTGCTCCTCTTCCCTTTTAGCCCCTGCGCGGCTCGACGGGAGCAATGCCCCGTTATTGCGCCGCGTTTAGCTGTAAGAATCGCCGAGGACGAAACAATAAAGACCGGAAACTGAGTTTCTACCCGTAAGTTGTCCCCCTGAAAGAAGCGCCTTCCAGTCTCCTCCGCCGTCCTGGGGGAGGGCGCCGGCGCCTGGGGCTGACCCGCGTGGCGTTCGGTCCCTCGCGCGCGCGCTCTTCTCTCTCTCCCCCCTTCTCGCCTTCTCCTTTGGTACCTGATGAAAGCCGGTAGCTTTATTGCGCTTTGGTCCCCAGCCGAAGGAGCGACTGACGGCAGCCTCGTGGGGCTGCTGCAACCAGGCTGTAGGAGGCTTTGGGGAGTGTCACGTTCAAGCTGCCCCCTTCCCCACCCTCGCCTGAAGAACGCTCTTCCCCTTCTTTGCCCTCAGACTGGCCTTCCTGAGCCTAGGATAACCCACCCCCACCCCGCGAGTAAGAAGGTCTCCAGTCAAATATGTCTAAGCGCATTGCCATTTCTTAAGCGCTTTGACAGAATATAATAGCTGTGAAGCAAGCCGGGCAGGAACTGTAGGAGGTTCCCTAATGTAGATGAGGAAACTGAGGCACGGGATAGAAGCCATGTAAAGGCTACCAGCCGTGGGAGTCTATGGCATGGACTAGACTAAACGACTTAAGGCTCCCAGTCCATTGCTTTTCCCATTCTGTTCCATGATGAGACTGGTGGAATATTTTCAAACTAAAAACTTTTGACTTGTATCAAATAATATAAAGTGTTGTGGTCTTCATCATTACTCGGAGTGTACATCGTGTTACACTTGGTAGGGCTCCTAGGACTACATTTGATGTAAACAAATTATGCTTTGGGAGCTAAGTGAAGCCACAGAGCAAATTGACTTCTAGATACTGTAACTAGTTGCCTTTCTTTGTTTTAATAAGCTTAATTGTTGAATATAATAGAAACTAGTAGCAGTATTAATATTAATGTTAAATATCAACAGTGTGGACTTTAGTGATCCAAATTGAACTGAGGACACCTGCTAAGCAGATCAGTTCATACTAATATTCTGACAGGTCTTATAACCTTAAAATTTCCAAAGACTTTTCCCATACAGATAATGTCTACGTTTTTACATGTAATTTTTGGGCCCAGGAAAATCATTAAGAGGCATAAGAGAAAGAAATGTAAAGGTGTTATTTGTTGTTTACTTTTTTTCCTCAAGCCTTTTTTCTAGAAATGTAGAAGCATAGGATCAAGCTCAAGATTGCCAATTACACTGCAGATGAAGAACCCTCGATACTTTCTTTGCATTGAAACATAGGGAAATGGTGTCATCACATCTGTTGTAATTCTGAACTCTTGTCTTTAACTTTGATCTCACTATCATACCCTTATTTAATCCAGTACTGCTTTAAAGAATTATGTATACCACAAAATATAAATTATTTTACCATTAATCTTAAATGTGCTATCAAACTCTAATGTGCATCATTTAAAATGTCCATGCTATTGATAGCATATGGCCCCAATTCAGAGGACAACATGTACTGTGAGAAAAAATTAGAACATTGAAAAGATACATGATTTATTCTTTAGTGAAGTTTTTAATTGACTGTTTACCTCACTTTCCTTTTCACTCTCCAGTGCTTGTAGACTTTGCTATTTCCTTTGTATTCAGGGGATAGAATGAAATAAAATTATAGGATGAAAGACACAATTTAGTCTGCCAGTCAGTCAGTAAACATTTATTAAGCACCTACTGTATGCCTGGCACTGTACTAAGCACTGGGGATAAAATGAAAGGTAAAAGGAGTCCCTGCTCTCTGGGAACTCACTGTCTAATGGGGGAGACAACATGCAAACAACTATGTGCAAATAAGCTTACTACAGGATAAAGTTGAAATAATAAACAGAAGGAAGGCACTGGAATTAAGGGGAATCTGGAAAAGCTTCCTGTAGAAAGTGGGATTTTAGCTAGGACTTGAAGGAAGCAGAGATGAGGAAGGAGAAAATTGCAGGCAGAGAAGAAAGTTAGTGAAAATGCCTGGAATCTGCAGATGGAATGTCTTGAAAAGCAAGGAGGCCAGCGTCTGTGGAGCACTTGGAAGATGGGGATGCTGGTGGAAGAGTATAAGGTGAAAGAAGATTGGAAAGATAGATGGGAGGGTCAGATTATGAATGCCAAAGGATTTTATATTTGATGTGATCCTGGAGGTGATAGGGAGCACTGGAGTTAATTTAGTAGGGGGGTGACATGGTCAGATCAGTACATGGTATAGTGAATGGAGCATTGGCCTTGGAGTCAGAAGTAATAGGGTTCAGTTCCTGCCTCAAGCATTTTCTAGCTTTGTGTCTTTGTCAAGTCAACCTCTCAGATCTTCAGCTTCCTTATTTGTAAAGTGGGAAAAAACAATTGTAGAATTTATCACATACTGTTATTGCAAGCATCAAATGAGATATAATTGATGTCCAGTGATTTGCAAATCCTAAAGCAATATATAAATGTCAGTGAATGTAGACACTTTGATTCCTAATCATATCACCATCACAGCCATTTTAGGTTTTAAGTGTTGGTAAATTAAGGATCAATCCTACTTCTTTCTTTATATATATGTTTTATACATAAATATCAATATTTGCAAATCATTTAGGTGCTTGCAAGACAGGTGCATCTTTTTGTTTATTGTTATAGTATAAACTTTACAATATGTATAATGTATAATAATTGTTGCTGTTAGCCAGACAGATTCTAGAGTAGCCCAGCCCCTGTTATCTCAAGAGTACTTAAAAAGTTCTTCCCATACTCCCCTCAAACCTAAAACATTCCAAAGGAAATCATTTAAGTGCATTTTATTTTAAAGTTAAATGTAGTTATATATAATTTTTAGGAACAAGGAAGCCACTGAATCACATGGAAATAAGCTATCAGTTGTCCTAAAAGATTAGGAATCACTGATTAGGAAACTGTAGTTGGGAATATATTATGTAGATGTTAGGTTACTTATATCTGGTATATTTCAAGATGATGCATCCAGGTGGCACAGTGGATAGAGTGGGGGGGTCTTCCTGAGGTCAGATCCAATCTTATTAGCTGTGTGAACCTGGACAATTCACTTAACCCTGTTTGCTTCAGGTTCCTCATTTGTAAAATGAGCTGGAGAAGGAAATGGCAAACTACTCTAGTATCTTTGCCAAGAAAAGCACAAATGGGGTCAAGAATCAGACACAACTGAATCATGTATTTCAAGATGTTTTTCTTTAGTATAGCGTTTTACATATAATCCAGGATGGGTCACTGTAGCTCCTATCATAGTACATGCCTTGATAACTATAAACATACTGTGTAAATTGCATGAATTCATTGCAGTAGTTGTATAGTAAAGAAGGGGTGTAAGCCCTAGTTCTTTCTAAACTTGAGCTTTAAAACCCCAGAACCTCAATATTCAGTTTATTTAATTCAGCAAGCATTGAGTAACCATCCAGGGTAATCAGACCATAGGAAAACTGGATTGCATTGCTCTAAACTCAACAGAAGACAAATTTGTTATCAGGATGTCAGTTTATTAATTTAATGTGTGAATTATGTCAGTCACAAAAAATGTGCATTGGTCAAGGCAAGCTCATTCAGGGTATCATGATATCTGGAAACCTAATCAATACATTGGTTAGTAAACGTTGGAATCATGGAGTAAAATCTCAAAGGTATATTTTCACTGAACTATTAAACCTAAGTCAGCCTTCTCAGTTCTAGGCATGTGACTGTCACTCATCTCCACTAGTCATGACATGCTTTCCTCATAGAGTCCTAGAAACAAATGGCTATGTTTAGTAATCCAGGAGATTCTCACTCCTGGTTTGTTCAAGAACATTAACATTTTTTTTCAACGATAAAAACAATCTAGGGATCCCCAATTTTTTCCATCCTTTAGTAGTGCCCTAAATGGTCAAAGGGACTATGGTGCAGAGGAAGGAACAGCAAAGTAGTATTAGCAAGCCACTTACTCTTATTTGCTTAATTTGTAAAGTGAGGGAGTTGGACTAAATAAGACTAAGGTTCATTCAAACTCTTACATGTGAACCATATATTACCAGCAAGGCCTTTGGTAACCCAGGAAGAAGAGTTGCAAGTAGGTGAAAGTTTGCTTTTCTTTTGGGATTAAAAGTTTCAGTTATTGGATTTAAGCACACGTTTCAAAGAAACTCTAGGCCCAACTAAGTAAGTGCGGGCAAGACTGGAGTTGCTTTGAGGGACCCAACAGTTCCACAGCTCCATCTTAATTCTATTAATCATCTGTTATGTCCTGAGCACTGTGCTAGGCAGCTAGGTTTAGAGAGTAGGGAAGAAATGCAAACATTAAATAAGAGATGGCCTGTGCCATCATGAAACAGTCTCAAAAGAGGAGCCACCTCATACATAAACAGCTATAATACAATAGAATATAAGCATATGGGATTGGTTCAAAGCATGGTCCAAGAAAAGATATGTCATTTCTGCCGGGTGTGAGTTCAAAAATAGTCATGTAATCAAAGGTTTCTTGGAAGAGGTAAAGTTTGAACAGGATCTTGAAAATTAGGTAAGATTTCCGACAAAGATTTCCAGCAAGGTGGTAGGAAATATATTCCAAGCACGAGGAAAGGTATAGGCAAAGACATAGAGGTGGGAAAAGACACCTAGGCCAATACCCTCAATTTACAAATTAATACTGAGGTCCAGAGTGGTTAAGTGATTTACCCAAGATCTTATAGGTACAGTAAATGGGAAAGGTATGATTTGAATTCTGGTCCTCTGAATCCAGTGCTCTTTCCACTGCACAATGCATAAAGAATTTGGATTATATGGTATTCAGATAGTAATTAACCAGCACAGCATTTTGAGGCCAGAAGAAACATGATCAAATCTATTTGGCATCAGTATGATGGGTATATTGGCAAGAGACCAGTAAGGAAGATACTGTAGTAAGATGATAGTAGGCAGTGAAGTCTTATGTCCATCTCTGGTGGCAGTGGAAATAGAAAGGAAGATATATAAGAAATTTCAGAGTTGGAATAAAGAGCTCTTTGCAACTATAACAGGTATGGGAGAGGGAAAAATTTCAAGCATTCATAACTTGGTAAATAATGGTGCCCTTGACAGAATCAGGAAGCCAAGAGGATGAGTCTATTTACCATAAGGAAAGAGATAGAAGAAAGGCAGTTGTATAGAGATGGACATGAATTCTGACCACATACTCTTCCCCCATCCATCCAAACAGTGACAAACAGTTGGTTTCTTTAATTTAACCCTTTTCTAATGGCATCACAGTAGCTGTTTCAAAGCAGAGAATAAAGATAGGAATTGGTTTAGGAATAGATTGTTTAGTGCATGTTTTCCCTATTTTCAGTGCAAAATCTGCATCTAGGCAAATTTACAAGTAGTAATAGTTGTCTCAAGTTAAGATAGCCAAAATATGGCTATGAGATTAGCAACAGCAAATCCAGTTCCTAAACTTTGGTGCCAGTAAAAAAATAAATGCAACTCTCATCTAATTTTATATGCTTGTATGCACATTAAATACGTCTGTACATTACTCTTAAAACTTAGTAGTAAAGATACTTTTTTTGCCTCTAATAGTCTCTTATTTGGCATAGTGATTCATTAAGGATACATTTGTTGCTTTTTTTAGGAGTTATCTGAGGCAAACGGTCCAGTTTAATAAGATAAGTAAGTTGATCCAACCTAGGGCTTTAGAGAAATTCATTCATTCAATAAATTCATTCATTCATTCAATAAATTCATTCACTCATTCATTCAATAAATATTTATATAAGTATATGCATTCTACAGGAAGTCTTTATACTTACTAGCTAAAGTTATATTAAGTTTACAAAAAGGGTCTTCACAAAATCCTTATTCACTTTTAAAATAACTGATAACAGATTTTTGCCATGGAAATAATGTTATATAAGGAGGGGCTTAGGTTCTAGTGTCAAGAGCTCTCATTACTGTGAGCCTGACGCTTGATAGGCCTGCACGTAGGGAAGAGGGTATCCCAGAGATTTTGTTGAGTGGAGAAAGGATGGGAATTCTGAGAGTTTGAGCTACACTGGGAATGAAAAGTCAAATAGCTTGTTCAACTGGAGGTAGGAAGCCAGGAAAAAGTAGAATGAGAGTACTAGGTGAGGAAAGCTATATAGATAGTGATATCCCAAAGGGAGAGGTTCTTTCAGATTATCAGTCCTTCTTAGCAGTAGCAATCAGGGCTACCTTGCAAGATTATGCCATCTTAAAGGTGTGGCAGCAGAAGATCATTTTGTGAATATTCATAGACATCTCTATAACGTTTGTCTTAGGGACTCTATATTTTATGAACGTTATCACAATAATAAGAATTTAGGATGTTGTGATGAAAAATATATTTAACAGTTGTTAAAACTTTACAAGTGTTAGTACTATGTTTCCTTTCACAATTTATCACAAGCTAAATTCAGCTGATGAAACATACTGTACATGATAAAAGCATGCTAGTAACAAGTACCAAATGTTCAGGAGCTGTCTTTTAAAAAGCATTTTCTAAATAATTTACTTTGCTTTTATACCAAAAAGTATCAAAACCTGGTGCCATATGTTTACTTTTCTAAAATAAATCTTTACCTGTGTCAAACTAATCTCCTTTAGAACTTGTGTGTGTGTGTGTGTGTGTGTGTGTGTGTGTGAGAGAGAGAGAGATGTATTTGCACCTGCCTTTATATATATTCATATATACACATGTTTGTGCATGTATATGCATATATGTGTTCATATTTATGCATGTATATATGTATATGCATATGTATATGTATTTATATATAACAGTGGCTTTGGCAAGCATTTTCAAAAGGTTAATTGAAATCTGAAGTTATAATGAAATTCAAAAAAAGATAGATGGTTTTTCACAGTGAATCCTAACATTTTCCACCTATGGGTTTTTTTTGTGAGTGCATAGAATGTGGCAAAACTGGTGAAATGTAGTTTTTCCTGTTGGTAATAAAAGGATCATAGTAGCTCCCTCATTTTGTAGATGAGGTATCTGAGGCCCAAGAAAATTAAGTGACTTGCCCAAGGTCACATACACAGTGTAAGTAGGATTTGAACGTGGATCGTCTGAGTTTAGAATCTGTGCTTTTTCTTTTCAATTCCAGGTTTCCTCTCCATGACAAAGAGAGACTTGAAAAATGGTTGCGGAATATGAAACGTGATACATGGGTTCCCAGTAAATACCAGTTCCTGTGCAGTGACCATTTTACTCCTGACTCTCTTGACATCAGATGGGGCATTCGATATTTAAAACATACTGCTGTACCAACTATTTTTTCTTTACCTGAGGACAGTCAGGTAATATTTTCTCTTTCTTTGGGGGGAATTAAAAAGGTGACTGAGGTTGTCAGAGGAGGAAGAGTAAGATTATTGTTTACTTACCTTATAGGTAATCCTACATATCTTGTGATTAAGTGTGGAGACAAAATTCGTAAAAGAAAAAGAAAAATTTTTACAAAATAATTACCTCACTTAAGAAATGCAGGGATAATGTATTTGTTGTTGTTGTTTTTCATTTAATTATAATACTCTTCATTTAAACTATGGCATGAAGCTTGGCATTAAGAAAAGTATATTTCTTGGTAATATCCTGCTCAAAAAAGGATGAGGTTTCTAAAGCCTGTACATATATAGGAAGCATCTTTTTTTCCTTTATGATAACAAGAAATTTTTTTTTTAAATTCATGCAGAAATTCAACAGCTCAAATAATTTAAGGAGATTTAACCTTTAGGATAAAACTAAAAATAAATGGGATTCCATTATTAACTACTTGCCTGATGATTCCTGATGTTTGCCTAAGTTAGTTTATTCCAAAGACAATCAAAGGATTTTAAAGTAATATTTAACTTGCAATTCTAGATTTAAGTAGTTTACTATATTTGTCTGTTCTTTTCCATACATGAAAAATTTTTAAAATATCTTGAACTTTTCAAATATTTACTAAGTCACTAGATATTTAGTAGAATATTTTTAAGTGTTGATAAATTTTACTTTGACAATATACTTTTTAATGTTATTTTTCATAAAACAAGCAATGTTTATTGTTTAGTTCAATAAGCTTTGAAAAATGAACTTGCTGAGTTTGAAAATACTGTTTTCTAGGAAAAAGACCATGCAAAAAATAAGCCTCAGAAAAAAAAAGCAGAAGATGAGAAAGAAATATGCCTAATGGTAAAGTCAGAAGAATTATCTGCACAAATGGAACCAAAGAAAAATATAGTAAGCGCAGAAAAATTTGATGAAAGTACAAATTTACTTTATTCATCTTCTTTGAGTGAACCACTCCAAAAGGATAAGCCACCAGTTTCTAGTATGGAAAATCCCCATAATGGCACATTAACTATAAACTCTTCAATTCCACAACATATTGGAAAGCCAAAACCTGTTTTAGAAACAGCAGTTGTCCAGGATATAGAAGTTAGTAGCTTTCATACATCTCTTGAAAACCTCTTAAATACTACAGCAGCTACTTTGAATGTCTCTAAACCAGAGCATGTGCAACTCTCTGTGGAACCCAGTAATGTAGTTGAAACAGCTATAGACCATCTCTCTAATCCAGATATCACAGATATTTCTGTGACAACACAGGAAAATACTGTCTTACTAAGTACAATTACTCAGACAATTGAAGAGCTGAACACAGACGAAGAATCAGTTATTACCATTCTAGTGCCTGCTGAAAGCTCTAAGCCATCAACCAGTTCATTCATGCCAACAGAACAAGAGAGCATTGACGTAGAAGATGTAGATATTGAAGATTCCTTATACGATGACACAGACTATGGAATTGAAATACTACAAACTGAGCATTCTTATTGCAGGCAAGATATTAACAGGGAACTTCTTTGGCAAAAAGTTACTAAACTACATTCAAAGATAACTCTTCTTGAACTACAAGAGCAACAAACTCTAGGAAGACTCAAATCTCTGGAAACTCTTATAGGACAGCTAAAACAAGAAAACTTGCTATCTGAAGAAAAACTCAAGATTGTAGAAAACTGTTTCACAACATTTGAAGTTACTATGATAGAATAAAAACTTTTTAGAAGCCATGATTTTATAAGATTATTACAAACTCTTTGATTATCTCTGGGTTATTTACAAAGTGATCTATTTTCCAGCATGAATCTCATATTCTTAATGACATTTATGAAAATACAATGTCATAGAAGACCTCTTGTTTTCACAAAATCCAGAATTAGGATATTGCCCTTTAAAGTGATTAGCTAAGAAGCAGAATGAGCGAAACTGAAAAAAAAAAAATTTAAATATTTGTATTTTAGCCCAAGAAAGCACTTGTGACAAATTCTATCATTTTATTCTAATACTTCATATTGATATTAACATAGTGGAGGGGCAACATCTTATGGTACCTATATAATAATGAATTTATTGTAAAATACGGCTGAATCCTAAAGATTGGGCTCCTATTCTGTGAAGTGAGAAGATGGGAGTGAGTAAACCTGTGATGTCATACAGCTTTCTATTGGCTAGCTGTGTAAAGTTGAGAAACTCACACCTATGTTTCAGGTTTTTTCATCTGTAAAATAAGGGAATTAGATCAGGAGATCTTGTCAGCTCTAAAATTCTGTTTCTGTGAGACCTTTCCCTACTTAACAGCATTATAAACAGAGATCTATTTCAAAGATGTTTTATAATGTGTCTTGATTATAGTTATTGCTTATGTTGTCTGGATAGCCTAAATATTCAGTTCTATAAGAATTCCTGTGTGGTTTGACCTTTCAACTGCAATTCATTTCTATAATAAAGTGTGCCCCAGGATTGTTTTTGTTTTCATTTGAACTGCATTGTAAACTAGGCACTACCTTTACTCAGTGCCCAATTGTGTTCTTAGGACAAGATTCTCTTAAACCTTAAGGATTACTTCTTGAGTTATACCTTGTGTGGTTGGCCATTATAATAGTCTTGTAGGAGCTTTATAAAAGAATACCAGCTGTATCCTTTTTTTTGATAAATACAAAGAATAAATTAATAAATGGAAAAAATTTAAAAACACAATTTTCATAATACTCATTCCACAGTATTCATTCTTAATGAGTATTATTGGCTTATTAAAAATTGCTTGTGTGTTGGGTATTCCAAAAAATGTTTTTGTTTCTGGGAACATCAGTATAATAATGAACATCATTCCCACTCATCTGCATTCTAATTTCTTGTGTTTAGCTTGTAATCAAGAAATATTAAGGAAATTGATAAAATACATTGGGAAACAAAATTGAAAGAAAAGAATCATACAAATAAAAATTGCTTTTAGATAGCATGAGAAAATTAGAAAAAACTGAAGTAAGAATGTAATGACTTGAAGGAAATAACTAAAAGCTTGAAAAATCACTAATAGACTCTGAAATTAATAGTCAACTTGATTGGTAAATGTTAATGAAGGACTATGCATAACAGTAGGAAGTATAGTATATTTTATTTTGGAAGGCAAATAATTACTTTTGTCCTCTCTAGCCCCATAAATTCTATGAGTATTTTCCAACAGAAAATTTCTTAGTTATCTTTTTCTTAGGCTGGTGTTAAAATTTTACATTGTCTTAAATATTTACCAATTGACAGCAAATGAAGGTGACCTGGAATTGTGTGGAGTAATTAGAGAAAGCTAACCTGAACTTTAAAATATGATGTCTTTTGAGACTGTCAGTAACTAAAAAAGAATTTTTTTAAAAGGTGGTGTATTAATGTTGTTCCCTTTCATTTAAAACTTAGTGGAATCTGAAACATCTTGCTATGTTGGATGAAAATGAGAGCATGATTTTTTTCCCACAATCATAACCAAGTAATGTTACAAGGTTAGCAGTTCTCAATTTTAGTCAAGGTAGACTATAATTAATTGTCTATGCAAAGGGATAGATTATTTTGGGGTTTTTTTGTTGTTGTTTTTGTTTTCAGAAATAAGTTTGGTTAGATAGAAATATTACCTAAAAAGAACTTGGGACTGTTAGGTATTGTCCTTGGCTTTTGTTTTCCCTTTTGTGTGTTTGTCTTAGTAGTACAGGAAATCCTCATCTTGCTAGCAGGCTGTGTTCCAAAAGCTGATTTATAAGTTGGTTGTTTGGATATTATTAGAAGCCATTTTCAAAAGAAATAGTGTTACAAGGAATGGTTAGGTTCCCAGGCTCACTGATAAAATGTTATTTAAACAGAAATACAAGATTGCACATTTGTACTAAAGAAAAAAATAAAAATTCTAGTCATTAAAACAAAAAAAGAATGATAAACTAATTTTTATTTATCTGGAGTGCTCATACTTGAAGAATAAACAAATTTAAGCAGGAAACGAGAGGAAAGTGGATAGAGTCTATAGAATGTATTACAAGAGTTGTATAGGTTGGTGGCAATGATCATGATGATTAATTTTTCTCTTATACTCATCAGCTACAATTGGGATCATTCTTAGCTTTCAAAGGGAGATAAAGACATTTTTCCAGAGGTAAATAGAAAAGAGATAAGGCACAAGAGTGAAAAGGATCTATATGTGGAATAAAATTTGCCTGAGGTCAAATTGTTCATGGCAAAAGCCAGATGGGAAGAAATATAACATGTTTATAACTGAGGTCTTCCTGAGTTGGGGGAAGGGAAATCAGACGATCTCCCATGATTACTACCGAGTGCCTCTGCTGGCTTTTGACAGCCTTGTTGGCCATGATGGCTGGGAGAGAAGGGAGACAGTATACAACCTGCCATATGTATGTTAGGTTCACAGATCAAAGGTTTGTAACTCATGTAAAACTTATAGAATATGTTTCTTATTGAATTTAAAATATGGATTTTTACAAAGGATTGTCTTTTAGTTGAAATGTTAAATATTAGAAAATACAAATGTAATAGCTCTAATACATTTTTGATAGAAAAATAAATTTTGTAAAGCAATTCTGAAAATTTTAATGCATTTTGGATTTCTAAATCTATAATAGGTAGAACTTTGTAGAGTGAAAAAGAACATTCTTTATCTTCCCCAAAAAAATGTTTTCTGGTTTTGGTTTTTTGGTTTTTTGGTTTTTTTTTTATTGTGATCCCCTCTATAAGTTACCAGTTGTAATTATTGCACAACAAAGTATGCATGAGACACAATTATCTGTTATCTCAGAGTTTTGGAATTTTAAACATAAAATGGACCTATTATTGAAATGTTGGAGTTCTCTTTCCTCCTACATCCTTTCCACACATCTCAGGTGATCAAGAGAACAAAATTCTAATCATTTGCCCACTAGTTTTTACTTAATAGTGTCTTTCCTAAGGCACTGATTACCTTCCTGGCATACTAAACTAAGCTAGACAGACTAAAAGAAAACTTTACTGCATATTCCTGAGTCATTATCCTAGAACAATCTGAACCAAACCAGCTCCCTAATTTTATACTCTGATTCGTCTAGCTTTCAGAGCCAATAATGTACTTTGTAACATTTTTTTGTTTCCTGGCTAACCCCAAATTTTTTTCTAATCCTTTTTTTCTTTCCTTCATCTGAATAGATTGTTCTGTTTTTCCTCATTCCTTCCAGATGTCTCATTTCCAATCATGTGATGCCTGCACTAAAAGAAAATGAGGATGGTTACCACTCATACTTCCCCTAGCTCAAAGTATTTTTATACCTATTTCAGGTGTGTTTCTACATGTCATATGTTTACCTTTTTGAAAAAGTCTCAGGGGCAGCTAGGTGATGCAGGCACCAGCCCTGAAGTCAGGAGGAACTGAGTTCAAAACCTTAGACCAAGCACTTGACACTAACTGTGTAACCCTGGACAGGTCACTTAACCCCAATTGCCTTTAAAAAAAAAAGTCATATAACCTATTTTGCATTTCTGTGGGCATTTTACTAACTCTTCTCAATTGGCCTTACAGGCATTCACCTTTCAGCAAAGATAGGAAGCTTGTCACATGCCCAGAGGATGTAAGATATATTCTGTTGTCCCATATTCATTCTCAGGATTCTCTTTTTTTTTTCTATTTAATATTTTAATTTTCCCCCAGTTACATGTGAAAACAATTTCCAACATTTGGCCTTTAAAATTTTTTGAGTTCTAAATTCTGTCCTGCCTTCCCTCCCATCCCTGCCTCCTCTCCCCTTCTCTGCCCTCCACATTGAGAAGGCAACAATCTGATAATAGGCTGTACATAAACATTCATGGGAAACATTTCCATATTAGTCATGTGAAAGAAAACACACACAAAAAAAATTAAAGTAAAGAAAAAGTATGCTTCAATCTGCATTCAGACTCCCATCAGTTCTTTCTCTGGAGATGGATAGCATTTTTCATCATAAGTCCTTCAGAATTATCTTGAATCATTGTATTGCCAAGAATAGCCAAGTCATTCACAGTCGATCATCATACAATATTGCTGTTACTGTATAAAATGTTCTGGTTCTGCTCATTCCACTTTGCATCCATTCATTTAAGTCCAGATTTTTCTGAGAGCATCTTGCTCATCATTTCTTATAGCACAATAGTATTCCACCACAATCATATATAGCAGCTTGTTCAGCCATTCCCTGATTGATGGACATTCCCTCAATTTCCAATTCTTTGCCACCACAAAAAGAGCCGTTATAAATATTCTTGTACATATAAGTCCTTTTCCCTTTTTTTTTTTTTAATCTCAAGGATATAGACCTAGTAGTAGTATTGCTGGGTCAAAGGTATGCATGGTTTTATAGCCCTTTGGGCATAGTTCCAAGTTGCTCTACAGAATGGGTGAATCAGTATACAACTTTACCAACAGTGCGTTAGTGTTTCAATTTTCCCACCTCCTCTCCAAAATTTGTCATTTTCCTTTTCTGTAATGTTAGCTAATCTGACGGGTGTAGGATAGGAGCTCAGAGTTGTTTTAATTTGCATTTCTTAATCAGTAGTAACTTAGCATTTTTATATTACTATAGCTTTGATTACTTCATCTGAAAACTGCTTGTTAATATCATTTGACCATTTTTCAATTGAGGAATGGCTCTTATTTCTATAAATTTGGCTCAGTTCTCTATTTATTTGAGAAATGAGGTCTTTATCAGAGAAACTTGCTGTAAAAAAATTTTTCCGGTTACAAATACTATGTGTTTTCCTCCCCATGTTTATCCTACTCTCACCCTGTTCATTCTCAAAAGTGTTTTGCTTCTGACTTTTACTCCCCCAATTCACTCTCCCTTCTATCAGTGCCACCCCTCCCCTTTTCTTATTTCTTTTCCCTCCTTCTTTCCTGTATGATAAGATAGATTTCTGTACCCAACTGAGTGTGTAAGTTATTCACTCTTTGAATCAATTCCAGTAATGGTAAGGTTCACACTCCCTCCCAACTCCTCCATCTTTCCCTCCACTGTAAAATCTCATTGGGTCTTCTTTTATGTCAGATAATTTACCCCATTCTACTTCTCCCTTTCCCCTTCTCCCAGTGCATTCCTCTTTCTCACCCCTTAATTTTATTTTTTAGACATTCAGCTCATACCTGTGCCCTCTGTCTACGTGTACACCTTTTAACTGCCCTGATGAGAAAGTTTTTAGGAGTTACAAGTATCATTTTTATATGTGGGAATGTAAGCAGTATAACCTTATTGAATCCCTTATGATTTCTCTTTCCTGTTTATGTTTTTATGCTCCTCTTGAGTCATATTTGAAAGTCAACTTTTCTGTTCAGCTCTGGTCTTTTTATCAGGAATGCTTGAAAGTTCTCTATTTCATTGACTATTCATTTTTCCCCCTGAAGGATTATATTCAGTTTTGCTGGGTAGGTGATTCTTGGTTGTAATCCTGGTTCTTCAGCCTGAATCACT